TTGTCGCGCAGGGATTGGATTTTGACTTTGATGTCGGAAAGATAAGGCACAGATAAGGCAACTGCAGCTGTTTCTCTTACTATACGAGGCAGATGCTTAAGCATGTCTGAGTTCAACTTGTCTTTGTCCTGCAACCGTGTAGATATTAAGTAGACTTGAGCACTGGTCGCTTCAGTACCAGCGTTTTGAATTTGCGTCTCGCAGTCATTTCGGACGATATCTAAGCATGATTCCTCGGCTGATGTTTTTTCACCACCTCTTTTCATGGATTCTATGTCCTGGTCAATATGCGTTCGAATGTAAAAGAAATGCTTTCGACGTCGGTTCACCTGTTTAACGAACCACGCGTCTTCTTCATAGAACCTTCCCCGTCCAAATATCAAGTAGAAATCATAAGTGTTAAAGTCAACAGTTTTCAAATAATTATCTCTGCCAAATTCACCAGTTCCAATTCCCGGCAAATCCCAGAAAATAAGACCTGGCAGCTCGGGGTGTTTATAGCGCCTTGTGGTACGTTGCGAACCAAAGGCATCTACGGGCGCCGCGCCAGGGTCGTCAGCTCTCAGCCCAAGAACTGTGTTGATGAACTGAGATTTCCCTGAACCCGAAATCCCACATAAGGCTACGTTGACTTCAATGTTCGGCCACTGGTTGGAATCTACCATCTTGAACCTGTTCATTTTCTTTTTGTAAAGCCTTAGTAGTCGTTTCTTGGCAAAGGCAGAGTAAAGAGGAGAAAGATATATATGCTCCTCTACCAACTTAATCTGTATAATTAAATGACTCGACTTTGCTTACGCCCAAGGCACACACTAAAGCATTCGCAAGGTGCAGCATTATTTACAGAAGAAACACGTAATCACGTGATGTGTTTGATAGATAACGGGCGTGGCCAAGAATACCGACAGGTCGTCTCTTCTGATACCAAGTGTTGACACTGTCTCGGGCTTAGATAGTTTCCATGTAACAGATAGTCCACCTTCTGATTCCAAGTGTTGACACTGTCTCGGGCTTAGATAGGAAATAAATACAAACACCTTACCATGTCTTGTTAAGTAGCTCAAGGATGATCTGCCGACGTATTTTATGCTGATCTTTTCTGATGGCTGAATTTTTAAAAATCAAATATTCAGTAAATGACAGGAGTTTTGATACATCACATTCTGAATTATTTCGATTGCAGGTCCCTATTTTATCACTTTTTGTTCGTACAGAGTACTATCGTACAATTTTGGTGATTTGAAAGCATAAAATCACCTTTTCAAAAGTGTGAGCAAGGCATTTTTCCACAACTCTGGATATATGAAATGGAGTTATAGAAACGCCATCACGATTTTCCAGATGTGACATATGACTTCCCGTCCTATGTTGATCTGTGTGTGTGCCTGGAATGTCATTTCTGTTCTTCGTTGAACTCGTACCATATATTGATACGCCCCAAGAAATTCAGTTTTCAGTTTCTTATGCAAAACATGCCCTTTTCAGATAGGTTGGCTGATGTTATTCATAATCATAGGTGTTACTTAAAATTTATTAAGAAACGAAAGAGCAACATTCTGTGCGCAGTCATCATCAGCAGTTTAATCGACCTTGCCTTGCATATTATGCGCACATGCCCTGAGACTTATTGTATCTGAAAGCACCTGTATGAGAGAGTCCAGTGGTACAGGGCGCAGTTTTCATTCCCCTGCACAGAGTTTGGCCCACTTATGTCAAGCTAACCCTATCCTGTGTAAATCTAATGGATGGTGGACTCTCTGTTACATGGAAACTTGGTTTCAGTCACAGGTTTCAATTGACATGTTATATACAATATGTACTGTATAGACTCATTTACAAATTATATATAAAAATTATAATATCATAAAGATTAGGGTCCTCTAACACCTAGAACACTGTGTACTGTTCATGCATGTAATTGCAGTTTGTTAAAGAAATCAAAGCATAAAATATCTTGAAATGTTTCACAATGAACAGAATTTATTTTCAGAAATCTAAAGGTAAACACTCATCCTTCATATCACATTTGTTTGTTTTAAACAGTTGCTACCATTGGACCATTACATCAAGTATAACTGTAAGAAAACTGTATTCAAATGACTGGTCAAGAATACAATACAATAAAATAAAATAAATTTAAAAAGTAAACTAAAATAAGTCTGGAGTTTAAAAAACATAAGAGCTAATCTAACTTATAATGTACATTGTACACCCCCCCCCCCAAGAAAAAAAGAAAAAACATCACTCGAAAGTCCCAAAAAGTCTACATTGTGATACAATACTGTTTGCAAACAATAATAACATGAAAAACATTCTTTGTCTGCAGAGTAAAGTGATTAGAATGACTATTAACTAAATGGAATATTTTCTCTATTTTAATATTATTGACAATCTTAATAATAAAATGCCACCTATACATTTTTTAAAATTAAAATCTTCAAGTAAAACTTCCCAAGTCCACACCCAATACAATTATATCCAAACCGTCCATGTATCTGTATACATGATACAGTATTTCACTGCTCAGTGATAGTTTAATTTAAATATTCTACTCAGAAGACTTGGTGATGTTCTGATGTGTCTAATATTGTGATGTCACTAACACTGTGATGTCACCAATGCTGCGATGTCACCTACTTAGCATCACTTCAGTAGGCTGGATGAGTGTCTCTTCTTTGGAACTGTAATAAAGGATTAGAAGAATATAATGACATTATCAATTACATTCAAATATCAAGCTTCAGTTCCCCAAAAACTTCCATCTTTCACTGCAAAATAATTAATTAAACTTCAATGCATATTTTCTTACAAAGTAAATTAACTACGCATCTACAAGAACAGCAGAACTATCCATACTTCAATAAAAATTCAACTCTTTAAAGCTCAAGGTCCTATAATACACTCTATTCATATATATTTCATATTTAGAATATGAGCTAGAAGAGACACTTAACACCTATCAAGGAAATGAACATTAGAAGAAATTATAAATAAATAAATGTAACCATCAACTACTTTAGGAGCTATGCAAATCAAATTGTGTTATTGAGAAAACATAAACGTTTCCACTAGTAGTAATGTTCAAAGTGATATGAATCGATTTAACGGCTAGTTTGATGATAGATTATTATAACTAGTTATAGTAATTTATTTTATTTATTGAAATTTCACCTAGCTTTTGGGATAATAATAATAATAACGATAATAATAATCATTTTACTTGCAACTGAAATAGTTGGATGATACAATATTTAAAATATAAATAGTAAAATTCAATAAATGAGGATAAAATTAATACAATTGTTAATTAAAACTGTTTAGATAAAACGTTTGGTACTATGAGGATATTTGAAAACATAAAGATTAACTTTTAAAAGCACGCTTATTTTTTATAAGTCAGTGCCCAGGGAATATATGTCTACGCAGTTCTGAGTTCTCAAGTTTAGAACATTACTATTATTATTATGATTATTGTTATTATTATTAATTGTTGATGTTGTTGACTTGTTGTTGTTTGATGCAGAGCATATGGCATAGTTGTACTTGTCCCAGGCAGTAGATGGGGTATTTTGTGGTACCTGTTAGTCATATTGTGGAGTAATGTTTTCCATCTTGAAGTCATCAAGCGTATTATCAGACTCCAGGCCCCTAAATATTCCCATCTTTTACAGCTTCTGATAGCTAGTGTTGACATGGCCTCGAACTTAGATAGGAAATAAATACAAACACCTTAGCAAGTCTCGTTTACTACCGATAGCATAAGGATGATCCGCCTATGTATTTTATGCTGATCTTTTCTGACAGCGGAATTTTTAAATCAAATACTAAACGACAGGAGTTTTAATACATCACATTCTTCTATTGCAGGTCCCTATTTTATTACTATTTTTTTTTTTTTTTTCATACAGAGTACTATCACACAATTTTGGTGATTTGAAAGCATAAAATCACCTTTTCAAAAGCATGAACAAGGCATTTTTCCACAACTCTGGAGATATGAAATGGAGTTAATAGAAATGCCATCACAATTTTCCAGATGTGACATATGACTTCCCTTCCTATGTTGATCTGTGTGTGTGTGTGTGTGGAATGTCATTTCTGTTCTTCGTTGAACTCGTAAAATATATTGATATGCCCCAAAAAATTCAGTTTTTAGTTTCTTATGCAAAACATGCACTTTTCAGATAGGTTGGCTGATGTCATTCATAATCATTGGTGTTACTTAAAATTTATTAAGAAATGAAAGAGGACTTTGCATGTTATGAGCACTTGCCACGAGACTTATTGTATCCGGAAGCACCCTGTACAAGAGAGTTCACAGTGAGACAGAGCCCAGTTTTCATTCCTCTACACAGAATTTGGCCCACTTGCGTCAAGTTAACCCTAACCTGTATGAATCTAATGGATGGAGGACTATCTGTTACATGGAAACTTGATTTCGGTCACAGGTTGCAAATGACATGTTATATGCAATATGTACTGTATAGACTCATTTACAAATTGTATATAAAAACTACAATATCATAAAGATTAGGGTCCTCTAACACCTAGAACACTGTGTCTCACATGCATGTAATTGCGTAATTGCGAAATCAAAACCAAAAATATCCTCAAATGTTGCACAATGAACAGAATTTATTTTCAAAAATCTAAAGGTAAACATTCATCCTATATATCACATTTGCTTGTTTTTAACAGTTGCTACAATTGGACCATTACATCAAGTATAAATGTAAGAAAACAGTATTCAAATGACTGGTCAAGAATACAATACAATAAAATAAAATAAATTTAAAAAGTAAACTAAAATAAGTCTGGGCCCAGTTTAATAAAGAACGTTTAGCACTAACCAGTGTTTAACTCTAACCGGTGGATAAATTCTCCTAAACCCTGATAAATGAAATTGTTTTATAAACAGTGTTTAAACAGTCCGTTAGTTAATTCACCTTTAAATAAGTATTTTATCCAGTTAAACACTGGCCAGCTAACTGATTGGCTGTTTGAACACTGTATATGAAAAACAATTTAACCATCTTTTAGTTAATGGGTATTAGGAGAATTTATCCACTGGTTAGGCTTATACACTGGTTAGTGCTAAACGTCCTTTATAAAACTGGGCCCTGGAGTTTAAAAAACATAAGAGCTAATCTAACTTACAATGTACATTTTAACCCCCCCTCCCCCTCAAGAAAAAAAAAGGAAAAACATCACTCAAAAGTCCCAAAAAGTCTACATTTTGATACAACAATTGCATACAAAAACAACATGGAAAAAACCATCCTTTGTTTGAAGAGTAAATTTCATCTTCAGGTAAAACTTCCTAAGTCCAAACCCAATACAATTATATCCCAACCAAACCATTCATGTATCTGTTTACATGATATAGTATTTCAATGCTCAGTGATGGCTTCATTAAAATATTCTACGCATAGGACTTGGTGATGCTCAGATGCCCCTGATACTGTGATATCACTAACATTGTGATGTCACCTATTTAGCATCACTTCAGTAGGCTGGATGGGTGTCTCTTTTCTTTGGAACTGAAATAAAAAGATTAAAAGAATATCTTTAAGTTATCAACTGTATTAAAATATCAAACTGTGGGCCCCTGAATACTCCCATCTTTTACATCTAGTGACATAATTAAACCTCAACCCATATTTTCTTACAAAAAAAATAAATAAATAAATAATACTATACATCTTCCAATAGAAATCCAACTCTTTAAAGCCCAAGACACTATAAAACACAAATTCAGAAATTTTGTATTTAGAATAAGAGCTGGAATAGACACCTAACACTTATCAAGAAAATAAACAATAGAAAAAATTATAAATAAATAAATAAAATTGACACCATTGAACTGGAAAAGAGAGGGAATATTGCGAAGTCCTCCTACCATTCTTCCTGGGCCGTGACCAGCGGGCCGTGGTGCTGGCGTCCGAGTCCTCTGGGAGCTGCCATACGTGACCTCTCTGGTCAGCAGGGTCTGCTGTGGGGGGGCGGTAGGTGTCCTCCTAAAACAGGAGTTGTAGAATTATAACTTGACAGTTAAACATTACCCCAGTCTGTGTGTAGAAGTGCTGATATCAGATTAAGAGTTTGAAAGTCTTCCCATCCCTCTTCTCTAGCTCTCTCCAATTATTTCTCCCTTTCTCTCTCTCTCTTAGATTGCATGAGTTAAGCCAAAACCATCACTATCTCAGACCTATTTCACACTACAGCTTATAGTTAGGCAGAAAATTGCTTAAGCAAAATATGATGACAAGTTAAAGTCAACAACAACAAAAATAATAATAAATACCTCTGATTCATCTCCCTCCATTCTTTCCCCTGCTGTCCAAGTCCTGTTGCCATAGTTACCAGGTGGTGGACTGCTGCCCTGTTTTCTGTAAGTCGTCTGCTCTAACTTTGCAAGAGGAGCCGTGGCTGCCATGACATGAGCACCACCTGGTGGTCGTCTGCTGCTTCTGGCTGTGGAAGCTTCTGAGATTGGAGGGGATGGATCACGACTGGAAGATAACAAATATGTCACTGATAGTTCATTTTTCCAGAGAAGCAAGACTGAGAATTCTCTAAAAGTGAACAAAAATGCTTTACCTTTGTACTTGTCAAAACCAGTAGGTTAGTAAACACTATTTCAAAATGTCTTCAACGACAAGATGTCTTACATGAAATCATCATAAAATCAATTTGTATGACGCATACATTTTGGCTTTACTCTTCAAATTAGCCCTTAGGGTTTCACATTTCTTGTTGTTCCTGCCTGTTTGTGCTTATTGCACTAACAAAAAAACTCATATTTCTAATGATTAATAAACAGATTTAAATACATAAATAAATGTAAATAAATAAATAACAGAATATATTGATTATTGTCACCATATGAGCTAATCCCTTACCCATACATATGCCTGCCTTTGGTAGGGATACCAGCTGGACTGAACATATGGCTGCCCTTTCTTGGGGTCAAGGTTTCTGCTGCAAACACAAAATATAATAATATTGAAATTATAATACTTTGACAATCATACAGGCAATTTATACTTCTGTGCAAAATTATTACTTCAAAAAAAAAAAGGGGAATTTGACATTTATGAAATGTGTGTTACAGAAGCACAATGACAGACAGCTGAACACACAGCCAACCAACCAGCCAGCCAGCCAGCCAGCCAGACAGACAGACAGACATCATGTAATAAATGTTTGCTTAAGTTTGCAACTTTGGGATAAACTGCAAGAATTTTGCTGCCAATTAATTATGCATATCATCTGCCAAATTTATCAATAAATCTGATAGACCTTTGATATCAATATAGATACTGACAGTTGATATAAATATAGATACTGACAGTTGATATAAATATCTGCCACACCTTGATCTAATGACGGTGATAAGGTGGAACTTTCAGGAACATTTACACTGGTTAAAGCAGATCTCCCTGGACCTCTCCTGGTCCGTACCATTCTATTTTATTTATTTATTTTTATTCTATTCTATTATTTTTATTTATTATTCTTTAATTTACTATTATTATTTTTTTTATTTATTTATTTATTTATTTATTTTTTTGAAAATATGAGGATATATTTAACATCATAACAAAACTGTCTGGAACAAGAGTATTTTTCTTATTGTTCCTCATTACAATCAAACAAACAAAAACCTCAAGCCCGTTTAATGATACACTTACAAAAATTTATCAATCATTTTCTTTTGTTTTCTCATACTGGTGAAATTTTTAAAGGCCAAAGGCAATCTGAAATCATATTAACAATGTAATGCATATAAATTTGTTGCAAACTGCTGTGAACCAGGTTCGTTAAAAAAGCTTTTGTGTAGTGTAAACAGAAACTCGGATAACCAATTATAATCAGTGGCCTCAATTAAACCCACACTCCATGTACATAGAGCAGAATCTGAGTTAATTAAAGCACTCGGTAGTACAGCGTCATGATGACCACAAGGTTGACCACTATTGCTACACTGCTGGTGTTGGCTCACCTGGCCTGGGCTGGTAAGAACCAATTCCCCCTCTCCTTTTGATTAAATTATTTATTATGATTATTATTATTTGACAAGCATGTATTTTCACTATATACTTTGTAAAAAATTAATCCACAATATGTTTACAGGTAAATTGCTTTTTATGACAAAAAAGATTAAGTTCTGAACCTTTTTCAGAAAAATAAATTGTATGTAAACTTGATAATCCAAGTCACACTGTCATTTGGCTAATAGATAGCTTGCAATATTTATTTATTTATTTATTTATTTACTTATTATCATTTTTCAAAAAAAAAAAAAGATTTAGTTGAGAAGTTTATAAAAAATTTTAACATGTCACCAACAAATATGATACTTATGATACTCAAGTGGAAATTTCATCAGCAATATGAATAATATATCCAGACCAAAAATTGGGTATATTGTCTGCAGTAACGTGTATAAACAGGGACTCAAATCTAATACTTGGATTTTGGAAACACCCAAAAACAGCTGCAAAGAAAAATATCCAAACCAAGAATTGTCAAACTTATCTCATACCTTTCAGCTAACAGTAAATACATATCAAAACATTCTGTCATAAAAATAATCCAGAAAAGGCAATTAATCAAAACAAAACAGTCTATCTTGGCTTTAACTGAAGCACAATTCAAACATATATCCTATCATCCATGGAAGAAAGTTTTCAGGATTATGCCTGATTTTAGGTTTTCAGTCTTCATTTTGACGTTTTTTCAAGTGGTCTAAATGTGATGAAAAATTGCAAGTAACTTTTTGAGGATTTTCAACTTTTTACAACTTTTACCTAGAAACATAAGCTAACAGCCAATATATATCAATACATTCCATCATCAAAAAAAGAAATAAAAATCAATGAAAACAATTATTCACAACCACATTCCATCTTGTCTTTAACAGACATACAATTCAAAGTTACATTTTCTACCTTCAGAAACACCAAAGAACAAGTGTACAGACAAGTGGCAAAATGAATACATCATCTACCCAGGGTCCCAGTGTACCAAATTTGTGCAATGGGCCAAGAACTCTCCCTCCGGAAGAGTTCTTGCTTGTCCGGCACGTATGAGATTCAATGTGAAAACCTGTCACTGTGATCTGATGACCAATGTCCAGTGTCCAGGTAAGATTGGCAGTCTACACTTGAAACTTCTCAGCAAATTGGTTAGTTGGTTAAAATGACCTCCGAAAAATAGTTGTCTAAATCATACAATTATGTCCTGCGGATGATATCTATGGGTTATGGAAACATACATACCGATAGCTTAAACAGCAGATAAAATATCTGTTAATTCAATTTCACCAAAAAACTTCAGAAAGTATTATTTTTACTTGTCTGATGCCAAATCTGCTGGTCAATTGCTTTATGCTTAATGTAGCAAATTGCATTTATATATTATTATCATTTCATTATTATTATTATTATTATTCCAGCGTCTAAGCCCCCCATAGACTGTACTGATCTCCGCCAGGCTGGTATCCCTTACTCTGGCATCTATAACTTCACTGTGGGGACGTGTGAAATGGCCGCCTACTGTGACATGGAGGGTCCAGATGGAGGCTGGCTGGTCAGTAGTCTCTCTCCTCCCCCTCCTCTCTCTCTCTCTCTCTCTCTCTCTCTCTCTCTCTCTCTCTCTCTCTGCAGCTCAGTAAATAAACAAGCCAAGGCCATTGTTTGTCAAATATATCCAGGGACAAATGTAGGCCATCTTCTGGGTCTTCCAGAAAACGGCCAGAAGTTTAAGTTTACATTGGTAGGCATATGATTTTTTTCTATGAGAAGACGGTCAAAAATGGAGGATGAATTAACAATATGAAATAAGTAATATGGAAGACGGTTAGAAAATATCTCTGAATTTGCCCCTGACATCAACTTGTCTTCTCATATAATATCAAAAACCATACAGATACATAACAAATAAAATGTCTTAAATATTGGTCAAGCTAGCTAAAAATAAAAGTTTTTTACACATCTTCTATTTCCAGTTGATCCAAAAACGAGAGACCAGTGTTCAGAATTCATTGGACTTCTATCAAGACATGAGGCATTATGTCAGGGGCTTTGGACAACTGGGGTTTGAATTCTGGTGGGGTGAGCATGAAGTTTATTTATCTTTTATAGTTTTAAAATTATTTTAACAAGACTTTTTACTTGGAAACACAATTTACATAATTCAAAACACATTATGTAAACTCATAAAAAAATCTTTTCATTTTGATATATGCAGTATACATATTACACATGGAAATTTAAACAATATAATTTTATCACGTGTTATTGAAATGCAACTGCACCATCATTATTAAATCTTGTTCATTGCTTAACATGATTTTGAATCCTACAAATTTAGTTTTTAACCATGAAGTGAGTTATTCCTTTCACTAATACCACCATATACCTACAAAGCAGTCTAATTCATTTGGGGTATTTTTGCCCACCTTATCAGGTCTGGACAACCTCTACCAAATGACCAACCCAAAGAAGAACGGTCGCATCTATGACATACGAGTAGACCTCAAGGATTTCACAGGTCACAGTGGATACGCCATCTTTTCTAATTTCTCAGTGGGCAATGCCAGCAATGGATACAGGCTTTCTGTGGGAAAGATGCGCAATGGAACCATTGGTAATTTCATCTCTAAAATAATCATAACACCTTACGTTTGGTTCAAAGTTCTTTTTCAGGAAATGTGAATTTATTATATGTTTCATGTTTTTCATTTGAATACATGCAACAGGACGATCAAATATCTATTTTTTTAGAAGGAAGTATTTCCTTGCTATTCTATTGATATCATTTCATTTCATTCATTGCCACCAGAAACATAAAGCAGAAATGGTGACTGCAACAAAATAACCACCCCCATCTAAGTGGACAAAAAATGACAAAATGATTTCAAGCATTATTTTGTATCTTTAATTACAGGGGACTCCTTTGTTGGTGCCAGAAACATGAAGTTCTGCACCAAAGATCGAGACTGCAACAAAATGGCGGCAAAGCATCATGGCAGCTGGTGGTTCAGCAAGGACACGGAGGCAAACCTCAATGGGAACGGCAAAAGAAAAGGGACCTACCATGCCAACTACGCTGATGGCATTTATTGGAAGACTTTCAAAGGAGTGTGGTATTCCTTAGAATCTACAAGAATGGCCATAAGACCTGTGGCAGTGCCAAGCAGTACAACTTCCACTACAAAAAGCACAACCACTTCTACAACCAAGAGTACTACAACTTCCACAACCACAAAGACTACGACCAAGAGTACTACACCTTCTACAACTACAAGGACTACAACCAAGAGTACTCCATCTACAACCACCCATAAAACTTCTACAACCACGCAAAAAATTCCAACTGGTAAGTGAAACGCTATACGGCTGTAATTGATTTCAAGTGGGACCTGTGTGTATATTCAATCCATAGAGGTCTGCCTCCTTGTTTATCTGTATGATATTTTTCCCTTACTGTTCCCAGATAGAGCCTGTACTCTGAGAGATGCTGACGGAAACAACAATGTCTACTACATCTATCCTGGAACCAAGTGTCAGAAGTTTGCAGAATATGCTGAGAAGGAACGATATGGCCGGGTGCTTGAGTGTCCCCCTGATACTGTGTTCAATGTACGGAATTGCCAATGTGATCATCCTGCTGCAACTATATGTCCAGGTTAGTCCTCTCTGTATGTACAAGGTATGTATGTCTCTCTCTTACCCAGACATACAAACACACAAACACATACATAAATGCACACATTACTCTCTCTCTCTCTCTCTCTCTCTCTCTCTCTCCGACACATAAGAACACACATACATAAGAAAATTATCTCCCTTCTCTCTCTCGCTCTCTCACTCATATATGCACACACACATTCTCTCTCACTCTCTCTCTCTCTCACACATACAAACACACACACAAACACATACACTTTCTCTTTCCCTCACACATACACACCTACACACACACAGACAATCCACCTGTCCATCTTCACACAATATCCCTCTATCTGTCCCCAGCCTCTGAGCCACCCCTGGACTGTTCAGACCTGCTGACATATGGACTGAAGGTGGACGGCATCTACGAGTTCAGTGTTGGCAATGACGTGCTGACAGCATCCTGTCTGCAGACTAAGATGGGAGGAGGATGGCTGGTGAGTTTGTGAGATATCCCACCACTGCCACCAATGTTAAATATACATAACTTAATATCCCAACTCTGCTTCCAATGTTAAACTTACTTATCTTGATAATTTACCATATTTAATAGATTTGTGACATCAAAAAGACTGAAAAAATACCAGTGTTCAATGCTTGCAGACTAATGCAAAAAAAAGGGATGGTTAGTTATCAATTTGTGAACTATTGGATAATCCCACTGCTGCCACCAGTGTTGCATATACTTATAGATTATCATTTACTATATTAAATGAATTATAAACTGAAAATAAGAGACAACTAAGATTTCAATGTTGATAGTGATGTAAAAAGATATGCTTATAGACAAATACTGGAATAGGACGGCTAGCAAGTTTCTATTATACCACCCCTCTGCTGCCACCAGAGTAAGGGACCGTTCATATGAAAAATCTATTTTCTAAAAATCTATTTTCTATTCGTGGTATCTTGTGATCACTCTGAGCGCAGCTGAGAATTAATTACAGCTTTGGAAGTAACTGGGTCCCGCTGCCAGTAATAACGCTGCATGGTATTCAGGGCACAGACTGTGATCACAAGATACCGCGAATAGAAAATAGATTTTTAGAAAATAGATTTTTCATATGAACGGTCCCTAAATCCCTGAGTGTAAAATGGCCCATGGTCTTATATGACAGAAATGATAGAAATAATAGAACAAAACATTAAACTTTCTTGTATGAATTTGCTATTATCTGTTTTATTTTCAAAATGCAGTCTGCTATAAAGCTATTTTTTTTAAATTTATCATGCCATCTCCTTTATTTTTATGTTGTATTTAAATATTAATTTGATATAGAGTTGCCAAACATGACGCCACAAAAAAACAGCTACCAAATGTAAGTGTGCCATTTATATTTCAGTAATAAAAACTATCATCATCATCATCATCATTATGACTTTTTTTAGGCAATTTGTCTTAAATTAAATATATTATACATTTTAGATCATACAAAACCGTGAGTTGACCCACAATCAGCCACCTCCCCTCAACTTCTCAGGGTATGGCTGGGGCGACTATGCCAGGGGATTTGGTAGAGTGGGGTACGAGTTCTGGTGGGGTAGGTGGAGTTCTGAAATATTTTCCACATTTTCTTACTTAGATTTTGGATTTGGGAAAGTCTTAATTCTCCAAGGGTATCTGAATATTTAGCAAATGCATTCTGCTGCATTTTACCTTTTTCACAACTAAAGTAACTTACAAATACTGACATTATTATATTTAATAGCAATTATAACAATACTGATATATCATTGGACAAAAATAATGATAATACTACTGTTCATAATAATAATAATGAAAATAAAAATTAACAATAATACTAAAAACATGAATGAAAACAGTGATACAATCCCTATTCCAGGTCTGGAGAAAATGAACCTACTTACTAGTCTAAACAGATATGACCTTCACCTCATTCTACACGACTATGACTCCAACACAGCATCAGCCCAATACACGGGATTCTCTGTCGGCAATTCCAACAATGGATACAAACTGAACATTGGGAAATTTATGGGAGGAGATGCAGGTAATGTGATAATGATTGTGTTAGCAGTGAAAGAATGCGTTAGGTGAGACAGAAATGTGTCAGGTGTAAAATGTGTACACATGTGTGTATATATGTGTGTGTGCATGTGGTTGCTTTGCCATCAGAAAAAGAAAGGAAATTGCAGCAGTGATAAGAACAAGGTTCATTATAATTATGCTTCATTCAGAACAGTTGATCTGCAGATCAAGTAAAGCTTGGAACTGTGATTTAATCAATTTAATTGCTGGGCCCCTGCAGGCCTGGCATGTGTGGTAGAGAGGGAGATCCTTAGGGGATAAGTGACATGGCTTTCAAGAGGGGTGGGACATATTTGATCTGCAGACCAGTTAGTTTGGGGATCATCTGTTCTGAACACAGCCAAATACATCAATAAATATAATACTGTACCCTTTGGGAAAGTAACTCAATGCAAAGAAGGCAATGCAAATTTACATCAAATATTGTAGTGATGAGAAAAAGAAATTAAAGAAAGGAGAAAAGACAACAATTGGTTTGACAACACCTTTAATACTCTTTCAGAAAAACCCAAATAAAATATACAGAATGGTTTCAATTAACAACATCTTAATATTTCCCTACACTTCCAGGTGACTCCCTCAGTAGCAGTGAGGGTGTCAAGTTCTACACCCCAGACAAAGACAGCAGTAACAGTGACGCCGCAAAGCGACACGGTGGTTGGTGGTTCAACAAGGACAACATCACGGCAAACCTGAATGGCAACCTAGCGCGAAGAGGGAGATATAACACCACCATTGCTGATGGAATCTTCTGGAAGAGCTGGCATGGGCAGTGGTACTCCCTGTCAGCCACCACCATGATGATAAAACCATCTGTGATGAGCAAGTTTGAACATTAAGGAACAATTTAGAACTTAAAATGGAAGGTTAAGTGCACCTGAGCCCATGGAAAAAGACATCCAAAACTTAAAATGTCTTCTACATGGTGTCTGAACTTAAAACAAAGAAAAAATACTTAAATTTAACTCTTGTGGTTTAAGGTATCTTTCTTAGGCTAAAAAAAATCAAAATTTGAAGTGGAATCCTTTTTCCCGGTAACTGTTGCCAGCCTAAATTCAAATATATTTTTTAATATGAGGTCGATGTTATTGACTGTCATATTCTGAAGAAGGCTCATATGGATAGTTCCAGGGTCTAATTGAAAAAATGAACTTTATGCTCTATGGATTTCAAAATAAATTCAAGGAAAAAAACTGAACTTCAGTTTCAACCATTCAACCAATTTTAATTACAAAACACAAACAAAACGTACATCATATCCTAAATCACTGTTAAAATTACAACCAGACCCCAGTTTACCCATCCAACCCCCCAAAATACAGGGGCGGATTTAGGCCGTCTTCTGGGTCTTCCGGAAGACGGTCAGATTTTCAAGTTTACATTGTCGGGCATCTAATGTTTTCTGTCAGAAGACGGTCAAAAATGGAGGATAGATCAACAAAGATAATTTGGAAGACTGACAGAAAATATCACTGGATCCGTCCCTGAAAATACCCCCCTCCCCGATTTCCAACCAAAAGCACAAAACATTATGCTTATTTTATGCCTTTGAATGTCCCAACTCATTGATATGAAGTGCACTTAAATGCTTAAATCAAACAGCAAATGTATCAAATGACAAACTTTATCGCTAGTCCTCCTGACCTCTAGACATTTTACCTTAATGCACTTCTAAAGATAATACTTGCAATCATAGTCCATCAATGATTTCACAAAACAGAAATGATAAAATCACACCGAATTCATCACTTGATGTACCACAAAAGATAAAATTTCAATCATTGTCCATCAATGATTTAACAAAGCAGTAATACAATAAAAACTGCATTTAATTTATCACTTGGTGCACTACAAAAGATAAACTTCCAATCATTGTCGATCAATGATTTCATAAAGCAGTAAAACAATAAAAACTGCATTTAATTTATCACTTGGTGCACTACAAAAGATAAACTTCCAATCACGAGACAAACAATTCCATAAAACAGAAACAATGAAATAATCACCACTATCATCAGTACCAGGGTTTAACAGGCACACCCTGTGTACTTATTTATAATAAATCCTTGCCAAAAAAAGATATAAATGTAACAATGAGATATAAACATATNAGTCCTCCTGACCTCTAGACATTTTACCTTAATGCACTTCTAAAGATAATACTTGCAATCATAGTCCATCAATGATTTCACAAAACAGAAATGATAAAATCACACCGAATTCATCACTTGATGTACCACAAAAGATAAAATTTCAATCATTGTCCATCAATGATTTAACAAAGCAGTAATACAATAAAAACTGCATTTAATTTATCACTTGGTGCACTACAAAAGATAAACTTCCAATCATTGTCGATCAATGATTTCATAAAGCAGTAAAACAATAAAAACTGCATTTAATTTATCACTTGGTGCACTACAAAAGATAAACTTCCAATCACGAGACAAACAATTCCATAAAACAGAAACAATGAAATAATCACCACTATCATCAGTACCAGGGTTTAACAGGCACACCCTGTGTACTTATTTATAATAAATCCTTGCCAAAAAAAGATATAAATGTAACAATGAGATATAAACATATAGGGGCGGATCCAGAGCTTTTTTCTGACAGTCTTCCAAATTATCTTTGTTGATCCATCCTCCATTTTTGACCGTCTTCCGACAGAAAAAATTGGATACCCTTCAATGTAAACTTAAATATCTGACCGTCTTCCAGAAGACCCAAAAGATGGCCTCAATCCGCCCCTGACATAGCAGGAAAATCAGATGAAACATTCTCCCATTCACAACCCTCTACCAGGGTCACATAGAGATTTTTTCACTATATATTCACAGATATTTATCTAGATAATTCTGTGCACTTTTCTGTACTATGTCAGAGACAATTTTCGCACAGAAATGGGATCATTGCTCCACTGATTTCTGGTAGTGTTGTGGATGTGAATAAAGATCAAAGGAGAGAACCAATATACTGCAGAGATTACTCATCCATAACAAACACCTGAAGTGTCTCTATATTTTATCTTTTCAGGCCTATGGTGTTTATTTTTTAGAATTGTACACACACACACACATGCAGGAAGATTAAAAATCTACAATTCACCAAAATAAAGTACTTAAATTTAATTCCAACACTCTATTTTCTTAATATCTATTGTTCTAGTTATCTTTAAACTATACTTCCAGAAGTGTTGTGAACTTCCTATCTTTTTCGTGTCTAACTAACCCTGTTTTAATTTTGTTGATGCTTTTCTTTACAGTGAATCAGTCACCTTACCCAGGCAGCAGTTCAAAATTGATCTTTTTAAAGACTAAAACCCCGTAGGCCCATATTATGCTTACCTAGAAACCTCCCTTGGGCCTAATTAATGTGCACAGATACCTATATGAAAGAGTGATTACCTATTAAGTTTGTTTATCGAAATCATCTGCAAATATAACCTTCACAAATCATACATTTTTAGATAAATTCTTCAAGAAAAATGAAAACGATTTTAGAAATATACAGTCCTTTAAATATTTAGAACAATGGCATTTTGAAAATCGAATTCTTATTCGATTGCTAGAGAAGAAACCTAATACTGCATGTTATAATACACAATTTTTTTTAATTTCTTTTTATTTCTGCTTGAAAATTCAATATAATGATGTTGTATGAGTAATCTATATACCCAGAAAAATCCGGCATGATGCTTCTTTCAGTTTTTATGTTATCTGGAATTTACTGGAATATTTGAGGTGGTGGGAAGCCGTCATTTTGTCTATAGTGCTGGAGACGTGTGTCTATTAAATCATCTTTTTCTCACTCCTTTCATTTTTTAAGAGTTAAGAAAGAAAAACAGAAAAGGCATAACAAAAATTTGCAAATATCTGTGTCAGTACCTCTTCCATTGATGAAAAACTAGGCAAATGTTCTATTACATCTTATTTCAGCCATGTAAAAAATAAATCAAAAAGAAAATAAAAGACAGTAATTATGTCTCCCTGTGATACACATTTTCCTCTGTTTCCATGAATATTTATGTACATTTAATTTTTTCTGGGAAATTTCAATCATTATTATTAAACAACTTTTAAACAAATAGCCACATCACATCCAAAAACAGTTGTTAAAATCACAACCAGTACTCCCCCCCTCAAAAAAAAAAAAAAAAATTACTCCGATTTGCAAGGACAAAATAAAATTTGTATTACGTGCCAATGAACATCGCAACTCACTGATATGAAGTGCACTTTATACTTAAATCAAATAACAAATGTATCAAATGACATAAGTTATCACAAGTCTCCCTGACCTCTAGACATTTTACCTTAACGCACTTCAAAAGATAAGACTTCCAATCATAGTCCATCCATGATGAAACAGAAACAATAAAATCACATGATCACTTGCTGCACTAAAAAAGATAAACTTCCAATCACGAAACAAACAATTACATAAATCAAAAACAATTAAACTGTGTTAATGATTGATGCCATTGTACATAAGATAAGTTTCAAATAATTATCTATCAAAGACACAATAGAATTAGATCATCACTATCATCAGTACCAAGACATAACAGGCACACTCCGACTGAGTACTTATTAAGAAGTCCTTGTCAAGAAAAATATAAATGTGACAAAGGAAAATCATTAACTGCTGGAATAACTCATCAACTGCAAACACAAAGGACGAACAATTCCATAAAACAGAAACAACAGAGTTAGATCATCACTATCATCAGTGCCATGGTACAACAGGCATGACCAGCCTGTGTACTTATTAATAAGTTCTTGCCAAAAAGATAATAAATGTAACAATTGGATGTATCATGAAAATCATTAACTGCTAAGATAACTCGTCAACTGCAAACACAAAAGATAAACTTCCAATCAAAAGACAAACAATTCCATAAAGCAGAAACAATAAAACTGTGTTACTGATTGACGCAATACATAAGATGTACTTTAAATCATTAACTATGAAGGATTTCATAAAACAAAAACAACAGAATTAGATCATCACTATCATCAGTACCATGGTATAACAGGCACGTCCTGGCTGTGCACTTTTTAAGGGTCTATTCCCACAACTTTAGATCGATCTATCACCGCGGGGAGTCTCACCAGACTACCGTCAGATAATCCCCTTTAAGTGTCCGTCCCCGCCCACTACAAGCCGTAAGGGGCAATTAACTTTCGTGTCCGCCCGGCTGACAGCTATTCAGCGCGAACCCCCAGGGAGTTAGGTCGATCCAAAGTAGGTCGATCTAATCTATGGAAATGGGGTGTAAGTCTGCCAAAAAAGATACAACTGTAACAATGGGATGTAGCAGGAAAATCATTAACAAATATTTTCCAATTCACTACCTTCTACCAGGGTCACATAGAGATTTTTTAAACAATATATTCACAGATATTTCTCTAGCTTATTATGTGCACATTTTGTGCTGTACAGTGAAAAAAGATTATGCTCAGCTAGCCTCTTGTAGTGAGCATCAACTTAATGCTGAGATATCTCATTAATTGTAAACACATCAGGTATTTCTATATTTTATCTCTTCAAGCCAGTGTTGTTTATAGGATAGATGATAAAGTTTTGTCAAAGATATTTATTTTGGAGACAGATCCACACACAGGCAGTTAATAATTTCCAATTCACCGTAATTACTCAAATTCAAAGTATATCAAGTCTAATTTCAACATTATCTTCTTAATATCTATCATTCTTGAGCTTGTTATCTTTTTCATATTTCACTAAAATATTTTTTTTTTGGAAAAAATGTCATCCAACCTCGTTTGACTTTTATAAAAATTTTCTAGAATTGTCTTAAAGCAATCACACTTTTTGTCTTAAAGTCTGTTTACCAAGCACAGTATTTGACTCTCCAAATCCATCACGATCTGACTTCAAATGTTTACTGATCAGATACAGAAATAGGCCACCATCTATAGCCTTCTACTGAGCAACATGGCCTCCCTTGGTCTTGTGGTTGTTTCTGTTCTGCTCATGACAGCACTTGTAGCTGGTAAGTATAACAGTTACTGTCCAAATAAATTACTTTCATATTACTCTATAAGCAGGCTCATAGCCAGGCATTTCAAAGGGTAAAAAAGTGGGGGGTTCTTTCTCTCAAATAATGGACCTTTTAACATGAACTCTTCGTGTACCTAGATCAACTTTTACCAACAGTGGACCTTTTTACCTGGCAAAAACCATAAAAGGGAGCGGTTCACTCTAATCCCCCCCCCCCACCCCCACCCCCTGGCTACAGGCATGGCATGTATGATGGTTATATTTATTTACAAATAAACAAGTTAACAGAAAAATGGCAAAAAAATGCCAAGGTCTATAAAGATCAACTTTCACCACATATTATACAAAACACACCTTAAGTCTACATAAAAACCTAAATAATAAAATTAAATCATTTTTCATAGCTCTCATATGTCCTCTAACCAATTCCAGATGCAGTGGTGAATAATTCATGCACAGTATCTTCAGGAAACGTGTACGTCATCTATCCTGGCTCTAACTGTTCTGTATTCGCACACTGGGCCACCAATAATTCCTCAGGTAGTCTTCAGTACTGCCCGAAAGGACTGAAGTTTAACACTGTACCATGCCAATGTGATCTGGCTTCCAAGGTACAGTGCCCAGGTAAATTTTGGAATTATTTGTAAATCTTTATAGTAGGTTTCACTTTTTTATATTGATAAGTGGGCAATTTCCTGATACTTAATTAATAAATACAAACACTTAACTCAAATTCAAAGTGATATAATGTATCAAGACTTCCCACACAGTTTTTTTTAATTATTTCTAAATGTATAACAAGGCAGCAAAGCTGTCAAATGTACAGACAAAAAACAGAAAATAAAGATGCAAAAAAGGTCATTTTGTCAATTTTGATGCAATAATAAATAATGCTTATAATAGCACTGTCAGTCAACACTAAATTTTAATCTTGCACAACAGGTAACATGGTCAATAACAGGAGCGGACCCAGAGATATTTTCTGACAGTATTACGAATCTATGTTGATCCATCCTCCATTTTGATGGTCTTCCAACAGAAAAAAATAGATACCAGTCAATATAAACTTAATAACCTGACTGTCTTCCGGAAGACCCAGAAGATGGTCTCAATCCACCCCTTCAATAAGATTACAGTTTCAGGACCATGAGAGTTCAAATTCACATTATGAAAGTCTCAATATTTGAAAAATGATGAAAGTGCATAAAATAATATTACATAATGTTTAAAGACATAAAAAACAATACAACTGCTTATGTAGAAATACAGAAAATGTGCAGAGCCCCAGGCAGATGAGAGCCTGCCTGGGGCTAAAAGTCACAAATGCAAGTGTTTGAGAAAAAATTATAAAGGAAAACAACAAAACTAGAAAAGCACTTTGAGAGTGCAGACCTCTGCCAAGGCAGCAATTGTTGATTATTATTGATAATTGATTGATTATTGATCCGGACCACCACCAAAAATTAATCATTGTCCTCTTTGGCCCACTTCCGACAGTTCCTGAAAATTTCTGCAAAATCAGTCCATAACTTTTT